TATGAAGACAAGGTGAGAGAGTCGGGTTTGTTCAGCCTGAAGAAGAGAAGGCTCTGGAGAGACCATAATTATAGCAGCCTTCCAGTACTTAAAGGGGGCTTATAAGAAAGATGGGGACAGTCTTTTTAGCAAGGTGTGTTGCAACAGGACAAGGGGTAATGATTTTAAACTAAAGGAAGGTAGATTCAGACTAGATATAAGAAAGAAATTTTTCACAATGAGGGTGGTGAAACACTGGAACAGGTTGCCTAGAAAGGCAGTAGATGCCCCATCTCTGGAAAAATTCACGGACAGGCTGGATGGGGCTCTGAGCAGCCTGATCTAGTTAAAAATGTCCCTGCTTATTGCAGGGGGGTTGGACTAGGTGACCTTTAAAGGTACCTTCCAACCCAAAGCATTCTATGATTCTAATCACCTTTGTAGCCCGGCACCACGCCCCCTCTAGTAAGTCTGTCATGCTCTTGCTCTGGAGAGCCCAGAACTGGACACAGCACTCCAGGTGTGTTCTCCCATCTCCTCAGCCTGCTTGCAGTTCTTTGCCTAATGCAGCCCAGGATGCTATTGACCTTTTTTTCAGAAACAGCATATTGTTGCCTTGCGGTCAGCTTGTCCACCGTGAACCCAGGGGTCTTCTCTGAAGAGCTGCTTTCCGGCTGGGTGGCCCCTGCCTCATAGTGGTGCATGGGGTTATTTGTCCTTGGGTGCAGGTCTTTGCACTTCCCCTTGTTGAACTTCATGATGTTCCTCTTGCCCATTTCTCCATCCTGTCAAGATCCCTCTGGATGGCAGCACAACCATCTGGACTATTAGCCACTCCTCCAGGGCGCAATCTACCCCATCACTCAGGTCATTGATGAAGATGTTGAACTGGATTGGCCCCTTATTGATCTGTGGGGTACAGCACTGGTGACTTGACCTGGACTTTGTGCTATGACTCTCCGGGCCCAGTCATTTGGGCAGTTTTTAACTTACCCTCCCTGTCCAAATACTTAACACACACCTGTTCAGCTTGTCTGTGATGTTTACCTTGACTTAGTAAAACCTTTGACACAACATCTACTACCCTCTGATATCTATTGCTATATCTATTAATTAAACATTGCTATAATACAAGGTAAATGGGTGAACTTACTCAGTTCTAAATATTTGGTCTCTCTTCTAATCATTGTGCTTCTCCTCCTAAACTAGCAAAAGTAATCTTTAACAAGTCATAGGCTAAATTATAAATTGCAACAGCAGTACTTCCTTCCTTCTCCACTCAAATAACCACTCCAGTGCAACTAAGAGTGCTGATAACTTCCTCAGAACAGGAAGCTGCTGTTGCTCTGCCCCACAAGTTTTGTAATCTGTGCAATCACACTAAGCAGCAGAAACTGTAAGCTATGATCTCACAGCCTAAGACAGAAAAAAAAAAAGGCAAGTTTACCAGTTTAGCTACCATAGTGGAAATTTTTAAGTGATTTGCTCTACCCCACACAAACCATGTCAGAGTTGGAAACTGAATTGAGAGTTTTAGGCCATATTCCCAAACTTTATGGAAGATCAGCATTTAGTTCTTTCAAGGGAAGTTACCTATCCTGCTACGAGCCATTTTATCAGGAAACTGTGTTATCAAGAGACATACAACTGTATTTATGTTTGCTTTATTTAGTTGAATTCTGCCTCTTTCCTCTTCTGCTTCAAAAAGCCATGAAGTCTTGTGCTTTCAGGATGTGTAGTCTATTCTGCTTCATTTCCTGAATAGTTCTTTCTAAATAGTTATAGGGAATCCTCTTGAGTTGTATACTTAACCTCTACCTATTTTAACAGTTGCAGATGAAACATGGCCCATATGCCATAAACCCTTGGTGGAGCACTTGTTTAAAAATCTTGGTAGAGTCAATGAGTACAAGTCCATGTAACCAGATGAGAAAGGGCACACACAGCTACAGAACAGTGACATGCATGGTCACTGCAACAGAAAAGAAGTTTACATCAACAAAGTAAAGCAAGTGCAGAGGATATCTTGCTCATTAAAAACTTCCAGTCAATATTGAATGATATTTCAGTAGCAGGAAATATAGTCTAATATCTGGTAACAGAGGCTAATTTTTATAGCACATCCATTGTGCTATAAAACTACAGTTATAATAGCATGCAGTGTATAAATCAAAAGGAACAACTAAACCCATATTTTCCTACTTTTGATGTTTGTATACATATTCTTTGCTAGATTTCACAATTGTGTTTCTTGGAGTCGAGAAGCCTATAACTCAGCAACTTAGAAATGACATAGCATACACAGAAGTAGTAAGAAAATAGGTTTTATTTTCCAATTTTATAGAAAAATGTGAACAATGCTTAAAGAAAGCAGCTGAGCAGCAACTTTCTGTATATATTCCAGACAAATTCAGGCACTTAAATTAACAGTATTTTGCTGTTACAAACCCACCCGTCCTATAATAACTATTTACATTTTTCTACAAATACTGAAAAGTGAACATATGCCATTAAAATAACAGGTAAAAATATTTTTAAAACATGACCATACTTACACATTCCCAAGTGTATCTACAGTCAAAATCCCCAACTAAGGCACTAGCCCAGATTATGTGCACATTAACATAAATTCATTTTAAACACCCAGAGTTCCCTTTAATACATGAAGTTACTTGTTTTCTCCCACTACACTCTCACTCAGATATTACTTTATAAGCAGGGGGAAATAAGGCTCACAGTCGGCCCAGTTCAGCTTATTTTTCTCTTTTTTTTTTTTATTGATCCATTCCACCTTGTTTCACTTAAGTTGTAAGTTGGATATTTAAAATTAGATTGTAAATTTAAGTGTCACTTTTTTGGATATACACAATGGAATACTAAAAAACATGTTTAACAATTTAAAGAACACTACACACTCACAAATATTTTAAGATGTTCAAGAATTAAATACAATCTTCTATATTTAGGTAATGATGTATAAGAACTTTGGTACAAGTGTTGTAATAGTGCTTATTCTTACTGGCTTTTCAAAAGCCCCCAAAAATTTACGTATGTATAGCAGATACCATTTCTGAATCCTTTTGTGACAGGGCTGCACTTGCTGGTGGAGGCTTATACAAACATACTGCCATGATCACAAAGATGATTGTGATGATTTTGCAAGCAGCACCTGAATGCAAAGAATAGAAGAGTCCTTGTTGCAGTCACCCTCAATAGTAGACAAGAGTATTTCATTTATAAAGCTTCACATGGTGAGTTACACTGTAAGACTTTTAAATTGATGCTATGAATTTCAACCTTTTTTTTACATGAACCAGAAAGGGTGGCCAAAGGTAGTCTTCCAACTGACTTCAAATCCCTCACCTGCCTGCCAGTTCTTGCTTGCAGCAGCTATTGCCATTACTTCAGTTCTACATTTTTTTCATCCCATTGTAGCCTGAAGTGCAAGCATTCCCTGTTTGTTGTTTCAGTACTGTTCTTCATTGCATCAATATTCTCTTTGTCACAAACTAAAACTCCCCGTGTACAAACCTGTTAAGTATTTTCTTCTCAGCTACCTTAAAAAGTTGTTTCATTTACTCACTGGTACATAGTGGTGTTTGTGCAACTCGGGAGGGCAAGGCAGGGGGGTAGAGGAGGGATTGTATTTTAATCACAAATATGCCTGAGAGATACTGAAACCTGAATTTGTGACTCCTGCTTTTTCTATTTCAAGGTAAGATGTTAGCACTTCAGTTTACGCACTGTAAGTATCACAGTTGCTAGAAGATGGGACAACAGCAGTTACCACAGGTACAAGCTTAGTCTGCCTTCCCTCCCCCAGATATACACACCTCACACCTGAAGATTGTTTAACAAGTTGGGAAAGCTTGACAAGTGTTCAGAGATATTTAAGATCTTGATATTAATTTAGGGACAAGAATTTAAATATGACAAGAGGAGGAAAACTCCTAAGACCTTAAGCTGCCAAAAGACAAAGACAGATAAGACTGAAATGCGTGCCAATCCCTTAAAATTCAGTAAATGAAGTGTGACAATGAAGAAAGACCAAAGAGCAAAGCTATTTCGTATTATTGTTACTGAATAAGTTTTCTAGGTCATAAAAGAGTCATTTGTAGTTTTGCTCTTTCCATGATATTTTGGTTATTACTTAAGAAAAAATTTTTTAAAAAAAATACCACTGCTAAAAAAAAATAAAAATCAAAGTTTAAGGTTTTATTTTAAAATAATTCCCATCTAGCTGTCAAAGTCAGTGTATCTATTGCCTTGTATATGTACTCAGTATGAAGAAGTCACTTACTTATGCCCATCAGCAGATAAGCCATCCTTTCATTGTCATAAACCCAACAGGCTCCTTTAGCTTTACATTCATTAATATCCCACAGAGTACAACTGTTGTCTATAGCAACACCAAACAAAATTGGTCCAGGAATAGTACCTAAAAAACACAGGAACATTTTAGAACATCTGAATTACTTGGAATAGTCTTACCTAGTCTTAATGTATACAGTGAAACACCAAGCTGGTAGGGAAAATAAAATGGGAGAGCCACACACTAAATTTAACATTTTAATCAAAGTCATATGGCTTATATTACATAGCAAGCATGCCCCTTTGATTTCTTTCAATTAACAGGCAGAATGCAGAGAGTGTCAGCTAATTCTTTATACAGTTCTCACTTTATCAAGCAAGAAGTTTATTCAAAGGTTTGAGCTTCTCTGTCCAAAAAGTGTTTAGATGTGGCGCTTCAAGACATGGTTTAGCGGGCATGGTGGTGTTGGGTATATGGTTGGACTTGATGATCTTTGAGGTCTCTTCCAACCATAACGATTTATGACTCTGATTCTCATAAATTCCTCAGTTTTCATTGGAAAAGAAAAATGTGATTAAAATTAGGGAGAAAAACAGCTAACCAAGGAAGCAGGATTTTAACCTAAGGAAAAGAAGTCTCTTTCCTCAGATCATATACATTAACGTGTTCTAAATGTAGAGAACTAAAATATTTTGCTAACATGTTCAATTATACTTTTTTCCATCCCTCAGATGTACCCAAGCTTCTATGTAAAAAATTAATATAAAATTAATAGGGTTTAAAGTTATTTCTGCATAGAATTTATTAGATTTGTGTGATTTTTGTTACAACAGTGCTTTATAAAGTACAAGTGTTTCGCACCCAGGTATAACCAATTTTATAATAAACATTCCAGGTTCATCATTGCACGTCTACGTAACCTACTCAAGGCCTAAACTGTTCTTGAGCTAACAAGCAGTGATGTCGTCACTAAAGCCCTTCTGTCTAGGACCCCTATGTGATTCCTTACATCTACAGCACAATTATCTTGTTGGTAGTAATACTGTTAGTCGCTGTCTTCTTCAGCCACGGTCTGTACAGGCAGTGTGAAAAGTTCACCTATCCTCTGTTCCACAGTGAAGTCAAGAGTTAAGACTCTGCCATAGACATCTTATCTTTGAGTAAAATCAGAATCACGAAAATGAAACAAAGAAACCAACACACAACACTTAACAGTACCTCCCAGGTAATTTCTACCTATAAGGATGTTTACTTCTGTTATGCCTTGTTGGTAGAATGACTTAGATTAATTGTAGATTCAATAGATACAGCAAAGCAGAACTCAGTGCTAGATATTTGATCTCAAATGACAGGGAATGGTTACAGTACCAAATATCGGTATAAAAGTCTAATCAGTAACTGAGCCTGGACCCAGTCTTGAATTATATCTGCCATTTTAAAAGTGTCTAAGACTAAAACTAAAACAAGAGTTTAAAATATGCCTGAGAAAATTCAAATTAATGATTCAGAGAATACCTACATTTAGCTTTATGTTTTAAGGTGATTCACCCATCTTACTGAGATCCCAGAGGTGCTCAATTTAGAATTTAAGTAGTAGTAGAATTCCCACATAAAAACTCAGTGATTATTTATGTACAAGTGTCCACAATTTCAATAAAGGCTAAAATTAGCCAAAGAAATTGAAAGGGAAAGGAGAAGAGGGAAGACTCTACCTATCCACTTTAAAATATACTGGTATGGCCAATAAGGATACAGTGAGACAGTGTCACTTTCTTTTAGCTTTTGGAACTTGAGATCTTAACTACATGAAACTTATCTATTACATCATTTTTTCTTATCTCAACTTTCAGAATAGGCCTCTGTGGGAAGTGACAGTAGGTGCGTTTTGCAGAAAGAATGACAGTTACCTGTATTTTGTACATGCTGATAAGAAAAAGAAAGGCTAAAATGAGCATGTGTGCCCTATTTAAAGAGGAATTTGAATCCACAGCATCTGCCTTATTATAAGAGTATTCTATAAGCCAATGACAGGCTGCTTCAAGCTCCTCTGAAAGCTTCTTAATGCATTATTTTTAAGTCTAGAAAAACAAAGGCAAGTGTTTCAACAGGAAAGTCATACCCAGTAGTCGTAGAAACACTGACTGTACTCCAAGAGCAAATGAGCGCTGTTTGTCTGGCACACACCTGTAAACAAGATTGGCAGTTTAAGACTTGGTAATCAAGTTTTCACTCCTCCATTTCTCTGCTTTGTCCCTCAGTGAATATGCTTTTTCTTCATATACTCATTTAACCTGTTAATTGCAGAGGGCTTTAAAAATCCAGTGTGCAGAACACGTAACAAAACAACTTCAAGAGGTGTTTTGACAAAAGATAGAAGCAACTCTAATAGCTCATCAAGGAATTTTAGATTGAGTTAGTTTAACAAAATAGTATAAATAAAAAGCTAGCTTACTAGCAGCACTGTTTAACATTTTTTCTACAGACCAACCAAGGAATTGGGGACAGTGCTAGGATGCAATCCTGAGCTGCTATTCCTAAAGAAGCAATACATGAATTGAGACTAGGCTTCAGCACAGTACAAGGTGTGGTATTTCCCATAACCTTTAATTGTAAGGTCAGGTGACTATATGTAATCAGTTCTGGCCTATGCTATACAAATAAATATATTGATTTAATAACTAGTAGAATTTACATCCTACCCATTTCTTCCAGATATTTCTCCAGCAAGAAACATTTTATCCTGTGTCTTAGAGATACTACCATAATGACTAAATACAACCTAACTTAATTTACACAATTTAGTTTCAGCACTGTTTTCTTTAAACTGCCTCATTGAAACACTGTCAGTGCTAAGAAAGACAGTATGTAAATACTCAGGAGTTATTCCCTCATTCTGGAGTACGTATGAGGATTAGCCACAGAAATACATCCATGATCAGCAGTTATCAGCAGTCATTGTTAGGATCCCCCTACTCATAAAGGCAAGTAGAGGAAGGATAATGAGTTTCGCAAAGCGTGAGTGGTTATTTCTAGCACTATAACACTGTCAAGAACATGGGGGTTTACACTTGAAATTGCACAAAACAGGCCCATCGAAAAGATATCAGAATGTACTGTAGTACCTTACCTCATCTTTAGATATTTGATTTAGTTTTTGCACATTTAATCTGCTCTACAGCCCTCTCTTCCATAAAACCTGTTTCACCATTTCAGTTGAAGTGTACAAAGATTCAAAATTCCAAATGTTATTGCTTAGAATTATCTAAATAAACCTATGTCAGTTCAGTTTTGAAGATAACGCAACACTTCACATTATTCTGCCCCCACACTAATATGACAAGCTTTTAATTCCAGATTTACACCAACCATGAACAGGAGGTTATTACAAAGCACTGTTACAGCATATCATTCCCCTCCCCAACCCCCTGCCTAGAAAGTTGGAAAAAGAGCATCTAACCACTTCTTCCCAAAGCATCATCTGTATAGTACATGTATGCCTATGCATCATAAACATTTTCTCTCTAGAAGTATGAGAGGTACAAGTCAGATTTGAACACAAACTGAAATAGCTCTTTCAGAATGAGGAACAGTTTTTAAAAAAATTAATCTAGTTTTCAGGCATACGAATTTCAGTAATTTGAAACAGTCAAACCAATGGTTAACAGCAATGTACATGCTGTCATAATTTGTATGGGTGACTACCATACATACAACATCAGTATCACATGAAAGGTAGTCTACAGTTCTTGACAGACTATAATTTTGCAAGTCAGAACTCTGAACTGAGACAGGAACCAAAGGTTGAGAATACGAGACTGATTGTTATTTTGTTCTTTTCATAGTGCAATTTGAAATCCTGGCACTACTGATACACAAGCTAGTTGAATATTTTCTTCATCAAGTACATGGCACCCTTATTCCTTCTTATTTTGTCTAAAACAGTCAAGAATACTCCCATAAAAGAGGGATTATGCTAGTAGGAAAGATTTTTTTATAAGTTCGAGGAGTATCTACTAACCAAATGTAATTACAGAGATAGTGAACAGTGACATGGCTGTTCTCTGCTTCAAGCGCTGTCTGTTTACTACACAAAGTACTACCACAGGAATTCCCTTGCACATTGATCTAAGTCCACATTCCAAAGCAAAACAAATTAGAGTATTTCACTGATCTGAGTTTTCACAAGAATGCTACCTATTTCTCAGCCCAAAAAACATACCTGAGAATGGCCACAGTTGTTGGAGTAACAGCCATAAATGTAAAAACAACAGCAAAAAAGAAGAAGGTCAAGAATAAAGGTAAAAGTTTGCATTGTGTTGGACATTTCCCAGGGACAGCTTCATAGAGAAAGTCTTCTGAAACATTTTCTCGTTTTGCTTTCTCAATACAGGAACAGTTGTGGTACATCTACAAATAATTTATAAAACAAAATTTAGCTCTAGGAATGATACCAAGTGACACTAATATGGTAGAGGTTCATCGGCTCTGCACCACACTGAATACAAGAATAAACCCTGACTTTACCATATGAGACACAGCCTATTTCATGATGATCATATCACACTGTAACTCTCATTTCTAAACCTG